GACAGTATTGCATAGGTTATCCATGAATGCGAAACATGTGTGGCAATCAAGCAAGCCACGCAGTTAAAAACTCTCTGCTATGGAGGACGATGGCTGAAATACAAATATGGGGAGGCCTGGTTGCATCACACTCACACAAACCCACCAAGGCAAGCGCTATGTGTTTACCATGGTGGAAGCAACCACCGGATGGCTAGAAACATATCCCATGCCCCATGCCACCACCCAGAACACTATCCTGGGCCTTGAAAAGCAAGTCTTTTGGTGACATGGCACCCCAGAAAGAATTGAGTCAGACAACAGGACTCATTTCCGAAGCAACCTCATAGACACCTGGGCCAAGGAGCACGGCATTGACTAGGTTGTATCACATCCCCTATCATGCCTCTGGGAAAGTTGAACAATACAATGGACTGTTAAAAACTACACTGAGAGCAATTGGTGCTGGGAAATTCAAGACTACACTGAGAGCAATTGGTGCTGGATACAGATTTAACAAAAGCCACCTGGTTAGTCAACACCAGGGGATCTTTCAATCGAGCTGGCCCTGCCCAGTCAAAACTCTTACGTACTGTAGATGGAGATAAAGTCCCTGTTGTGCACGTAAGAAATATGCTGGGGAAGACACTCTGGGTTACTCCCGCCTCTGGCAAAGCAAAACCCATTCATGGAATTGCTTTTGCTCAAGGACCCGGGTGCACTTGGTGAGTAATGCGGGAAGATGGGGAAGTCTAACGTGTACTTCAAGGGGATTTGATTTTGGGCGAGAACAGCCAAAAAATTAAATTGTATGATGTTAACTGCTATAAAATAATGTATATCATCACTTCTGTGGTGGCTATATGCCTTATCAATGGTATTACAGTAAGAATCACCCAGATTAATGAAGAACGAACTTTGATGAAACCGAGAAAGTGCAGCGATGATAGAACCGGACAACCACAGCAATAATGAAACCAGAACTGGCTTCAGCATGCAACAATCCAACACCACACACCATCTCTCCTGCCCTGAAAAACTGTTATGACAGATGGAGCCCAAAGTCACG